CTGAACCAAAATCACCACCACCCAGAGGTCTTGTTCATATCACAAACTGGTACAATAGTTTTGAAAAAAGAACTAAGCTTACAGTAGGATACCCCAATATGAAAACTGTCACTTGAGTTTTCCTGGAAAAGAGATAAACTTGAGTATTATATATATATAAAAAAAATTTGATATAAAGTTGCAAAAATCCATTGCTTTAATTCCATGTTTAATTCTATAACAGAACTATAGCCTTAGATAATAGATTAGTGGCTAAATGTGAGAAGGCCTGGAGCAGAACACACAAGGCACATTGTAACAAATGACAAATAGTCATACTTTTCCTTTCCCTCATTCTCCCCTGGCCTAAGATAGCATGACCAATCAGTCTTCCAGAGAGGGGCATTAATTGTGTTGCTTTTTATTCAAAATGAAGGGCTCACTCACTCATTCACTGGAGGACATTTGGTCATAAGTCTGTTGACTGCTGTGGAGAAGAAATTAACAAGATATGTAGACTGCCATCAAGGGTTTTACATTAGAGAGGAGATCAAACACATTTTGTATGAAAAACTACAGTGCCAGGGAACAATCAAGTATATAACTTTCCTAGAGATGTATGAATTATTTTTAAATCAATGGAGGAGGTTTAGAGAGAATGAATAATAAGGAAGAGGGACCTTGCATTGGCAGGACAGGTAAAATTTGTATTTGTAGAGATGGGTCTGGAAATGTATTTTAGGAGAAGAACTTAGATGAGATGTGCCTGGAGGCAGGACACTGTGTGTGTGTGTGTGTGTGTGTGTGTGTGTGTGTATGTGTGTGTTGATTGTAGAGATGCTGTCAATAGTTGAAAAGCCTATTAAATGTTGATAATCATCACATAACAGGAGGGCACAAGTTGTTATCATGGAACCTTTACATGTTTTTGAGTATAATGGGGTGGTGTGTTACACTGTGTGACGATGCCTTGGAGGATGTTGGAGAACATCAAATCTAAGAACCTAATAGTATAAAGAAGCTGAGACCAGAGAGGAAGTGCCTTCATGTGAGCTTACACAGCAGTTTTACAGTAGGGAGAGGACTATAAAGCTTTTACTCCTTTATCTTCACAATGCAGTTCTGGTTCTTCCTCCAGGAGTACTCTAATTCTTTTTCTTCCTTCCCTCTGTTCTGTTTGTATCTAGGACTCAACTTTTGAGGACATTAACAGATTGTATGTAAATACCTTCGCCATTTTCCTCTGCCTTTGAACAGGGACAAGAGAAAAACAAACAATAAAAACCCACCAATGGAATGCCTACAAACTAAGGGAGGCATTATATTGACTCAGAGATGAGTTAGACTCTCAGTTCACAGGAGAGAAAGACAAGGCGACCAATGACATGATCCAGACTGAGAGTAAGCAGGGAATGGCAGGCTTGCTCTGCAGGGACACGCATCTAAGCAGGGACACGCATCTATAGGGCAGGAGGGCCTCACAGAGGACATGACATTTAAGAGGAGGCTGAAGCGGTTATGTAAGTGTCACCAGGTAGATGAAGAAGGAATAGAGCTCCCAGGTGAAAGAACGTGTGCAATGGTAGGAGAGCAGGGCAGATGAGACGTTTGGGAAATTACTAGAACTTCAGTTGACTGGAGGGTGGGGTCATGGCAGACAGAGTGGCAGACAGAGTGAAGGCTGGTGCAGACCATACTAAGGAGACTGGCCCCAAGGATTTTTTTTTCTCTTTTTTTTTTTCTTTTTTTAAAGATTTATTTATTTTTATACAAGAACCGGGTACAGGCCAGATGCGCGGGAGGGTGAGATGACACACCAGAGACAGAGCGGGGAACAGAACAGGCAGACTGAAGAAATACACTGCTGAGGGGAGCAGCAGGCGAGACAGGAGAGGTCTGCCTCACTGTGTGGGATTCTCACCGTCCGGCCAGGTTGGAACCTGCGCTGCAGAGGCTGCGGACAGCTTCACAGTGCGGCGCTCAACCACCTGCGCCACCAGGGAGGCCTTGCCACATGGATTTTAAGGTAGGAAGAGGCGACATCAAGTAGGTATTTTCTTCCCATCTGCTAGTGCTGCTGTTGTCCTTATCATTTCTTTGTTAAGTTCTTCATATACTTTTCTCTTAGTTTGCTGTGGGAGATTATGAGTTCTGCACTTTGGACTGTTTCAACTGAGACCAGATGGTCATTCAGTAATGTGTGAGCAAAGCACCAGGCTGCCAGCACTCAGGGAGTAATCTCAGTTTACCTGCACACAAGCTCTGGATTAAGATCAAGTTACTTAACCTCTCTAAAGTTTACTGTCCTTATGGGCAAAATGGAGAAATTAATGGTGCCAACCTTAGAAGTGTTTGTGAGGGTCAAATAAACTAAATAAACTCCTTGTAATATTGCCTATACATCGCAGGCACAAAGAAAGCAGTGATTTGAGCTTCTTCCTGCCTTCTGTGCCATCACTGGAGAAAGCTTTGGTAGGCCTGCAGGCCATCGGTGTGCAATCCTTGAAACACATGTGCTCCAGCCCATCTGAAATTCTATGCTTCATTTAGTCTTTGAATTGATAAACCAGTATTTTTCTAGCATTGAACCTGCAAATTGACACTGCCTTTCCTTCTCTCTCAAGCCCCTGCACACAGCAGGGATGTTGAGAAAAGTGAGAAAAGGGATGTCTAGAAAAGTGTGAATACAAAGGAAACCAGATCAGCAAAGGAGAATGAGGTTTTTGATTTGGGATTGCACCGATGACAATGCTGCATGCAGTTTGCCAAGCATCCAATTTATGACTTTGCCTCTTATATTCCTGGTGAGTGCCTCATGAGTGGAAATTATCTTTTGTGATTAACTGCATATAATGCTTGTGTTAACATCATGCTCACCTGAGCAATTCATAAATATTTCAAGAGGAGAAACATAGTGATCTTCCCGAACACACCCATACAACAGTTTCAACATAATTAGTAGCATTTCTGGATCCAACACAGCACTCTTATAATGTGTATGATGGAGGAAATGAATGACTCTAATTATACCTTATTAAATCTTATTAATCCTCATTAGAACCCTATTATTCTTTATAAGTGGGTTACTGGGGAAAAGAACAAAGAAATGCTGGTCAAGTCCCGTTATAGCCAATGAGGACTGAGTACATTCATTCCTACTTTGTGTAATACCAGGATATTTTCATATTATATAGTAGCACTCAGAAAGTGGGTTTGCAGATACGCTAAAGATAGAGTAAGTGAACTGTGTTGTAACGGGGTCTGATCTTTTTAAAGCCCTAGAACAATCTCTTTAAGAGTTCATAGCTAATATTTCAAAGAGAAAAATATTTCATTATTGCATGGAATAGCTATTCTTGACCTTTTCTCTGTTACTATTTTCATGATTTTGTAGGTGTAGATGAGAGGAAGAGAAATTAAGTTACTTGAACTCAGTAATGATTGAATCAGAGACCACAGTGAAGGTGCTCAATAGATGGTAAAAGTGAATAATACATTAATCTAATTTTTGGTCCAAAAAATTCCCCCACATCCAAGATGAACTAAGTTTTGGAAATTTCATGAATAGGTAACTCAGAGTGTACTCTCAACATTCATGATTGGTAACTAGGTCCAGCTGGAGATTGGGGGTGGGATTGTTTTGTGGAAAAAATCATGGGATTGGTCATTTGACCTGGATGGGGGGAAAGATGAATTCAGGTACTTTTATATTGGTCTGGTCACTTCCTAAGTTTCTTTCTGAAACGTACAATGGGGACTCCAATTAGTCCTATTTAACAGGGAGATCTAATAAACTACTGAGAAAGTGATTTTTTTTGTGTGTGTTAAGTCGAGGAATTATTATTTTAGATGTGCATAGGCTAGAGTTGCATGGAAACAGAGTCCCCACCCTTGGAGTGCCTTCCAGCAAAGGCTGCTGCACATTACAACCCCTCCAAAGTAAACGGTGGTTCTCCTGGCTGCTCATATATGCAAATGTTAGAGGACAAAAATCCCACTCAAACCTTCCAAGAACAGGTTTGCCTTTACTCAAACCAGTTTACCCAGTTCGAAGATTTTTTTTTTTTTGAAGTTTTAAATGCAAATTAAAAGTTCTCTGCTTTTCTCACAGTTCTGTGAAGTAAATGTTAAACTCCAGGGGTTCATTTGTTTGAGTAACAGACTGAGGAAGTTGCCCTGAGGCAACTGGTCATCCTGGCTCTTCAGGGCTCACTGTCAATCAAACCTTCCAGGAATTGACCAGGGGCTTAACTTCGAAATCTCTTTACGGGGTGGTCTGCGTTGCTTACTGCGAGCTAACCTGATCCACTGCTCAGTGGGAAGGAGTCAGGGCCCTCGGGGTGGGGCAGGGGTAGGATGGAGAGGGTGGAGGGCGAACACCCGGGTCTCCCACGTGGATCTGTGGCGTGCGTGACCCTGCACAAGCCCTTTCTCTTCGGAGAGTCCCTGCTGTCTCATATACGAAGAGGCCAGATTGGAAGTCAATCTTGGCCAGCTCGACTTCCAGCATGTTTTGAGTCTTGCTGGGAATCCAGGGCGGGGCTCACGAGCAGGCTCTAGTCAGGGGATTCCAAGGCTGGATCTCTTCTGCTCAAGACTGCAGCCCTAACTTGGCGCCTGAAGAGCAGACACAGGTCCCCCCACTTCCTCAGACCTAATCGCTTCCTCCTAGTACGTCTCCTTCCTCTTCCTCTAGGGCAGGCAAAGCCTCCACACCTTCCTCGCCCCCTTCCTCCTCTGCCAGCTCCCCGCATCCCCGCGTCTCCTCCTCTTCCTCCCAGGAAATAAAATGCCTTCTGCGCGCCCACCTTTTGGCACAGCGGCCGGCCGCGGCGGGCGCCCGGTCCCCCGCCCTGCGCGCGCGGCGCGGCGGCCCGGCGGGCACACGCCTTCCCATACCTTACATGGACAAATGCGTGCAGGCAAAGTCAGGAATTCAGGCCCCTGACGTCAGCCTCCAGCTCTCAGGGCACCGCACGGGAGACCGAGGGGAGGGGGTGGGGACCGTGGGGAGGAAGGAGGGGGAAAGGCACCAACCAGCAGCCGCTCCAGCCCTGCCGAAGTTTCACTTTTTGTCTGTGGGTTCGCTCCCGGGCCCCGCGCGAGCTTTCCCGGGACAAGTAGCTTTAGCGAGCCGGGGACAGCCGGGCGCTGCAAGGTAAGGGCTGGCGGCGCGGCCCGGGGGCCCGGCGTGGGGCGCGGCGCGGGGCGCGGGGCCGGGCCTGTCCGGGACTGGGGACAATGGGAGGGGGAGTGCCCGGGCACCTCCTCCTCCGCCCGTGCCTCCGCCTCCAGCCGCCGCTGCCACCGCCGCTGCCCGGGCTACCTCCTCCCAGAGGTATTGTTGCAAATCCTCCTTCCTTCCCCCCACCCTCAGCCGCGGGCGTCTCGGGAACCCCCAGCCCTCCCCGGGCGCGAGCGCCTCCGGGGCGGCAGGCGCGCGGGGCGCAGGGCGCGGAGCGCGCGCTCTGCTGGGGCCGCGGGGCCCTGGGTGCGGAAGTGCCGGCGCGGCGCGTTCACCGGGTGCACGTCTTGGGGGATGGGGACCCCGAGTTTTGGGGAAGCTTCTACAGTGGGCTGGGCGCGGTTGGAGCCCTTCGCTGCGCGGCCCCTGCCCGGGCTTTTCAGGGCGCTCAGGGGGCGGGGCCACACCCAGCCGCGGAGAGCTTTCGCGGAATCACAGTTGTCACAGTAGCAGGGGCCTAGGAACCCAGTTATCGGAGTCCCCCTTTTTATGGCTGAGACTACGAAGACCCGCAGAAAGGAGGCCCCCCCGGGAAGCAATCATTCACTAGAGGCTGAGCCATAATTAAAATAGAAGGCTCCCAACTCACGTTTCCTTTTTTTCCCAAGAATTTCTGGAGCACCCACTGTGTGTCAAGCTTTGTGCAGGGTTGGAGAGGCAGATCGGGGCCCTTCGGCTGCCCTCAGGGAGAGGACGGTCAACCCAGGAGACAGCTTGACCTAAGGTGGAAAGTGCTAAGCTCTGGGGAAAAGGCATGAGAAAATTACAAAGGTGTCAGGGAAAGGAGTTTGATTTCCAAGTTCCACAGAGAATGTGCTAGATTAGGGCTTTTGAAGGATAGAGTCTTTTCTGAAGCTAGTTCGTATTGAGGGAAGATCACTTGCACTTCTCTGCAGACCAGAGAAGACTAAGCTGTGGAGAGAAGAAACTGTAAATGTTACTGTGTTGGGGCATGGGGTTGTGTGTGTGTGTGTTTGTGTATGTGTGTATGTATGTGTGTGTATATATACACACACATACATACACACATATATGGTGGGGGCTGGGGGAGGGGGGAAGGGGTTGCAAGGGAGAGGACATAATCACTGCATCTGTGTCTAAGTTCTTGGACAGAGGCAGTGTCTTTGGGACTCCAGAGTGCTAGGGATACTGAGAGATCTCTCTGGCTTCCTTTCCTTTTTAAAATTTATTTATTTATTCAAGCACTGGGTACAGTCAGAAGCGCGGGTGGTGAGAGAATTCACCAGAGCCAGAGCGGGGAACAGAACAGGCAGACTGAAGAAATACACTGCTGAGGGGAGCAGCGGGCATGGCAGGAGAAGTCTGCGTGCCATGTGGGACCCTCGCCTGTGGCCGGGGATCGAACCAGCGCTGCAGAGGCTGCGGGCAGCTTTGCAGCCCAGCGCTCAACCGCTGCACCACCAGAGGAGGCCCTGGCTTCCTTTCTTTACCCAGGCATCCCCTGCTTTCTGATCCCTCAAAACAAAATTCAGAAATTTAAGGTCATCTCTGGGTTACTATCTTAGTACCAGACTCATTTAACTGTTTCCAATTCTCTTTCTCTTCCACCTCAACCCCCTTTTCTGAATGTCTTGCCTCCCAATAAACCTCATTCTTACTAAAATGTTAGTGACTTAATGGCATAGCTCTCTCACCACTTGGTCCTTTTGAGATAGTCTTTAAGTGGAAGGAGGGAAAGCAGCTAATTCTCTCACTTCCCAGTCTGAAGTCTACCTCACTCTTAGAGAAGCAAAGGGCTACAGAAGGTGGGCGTTACACCTAAATAATGGTGGAATGTGGGGGGCCAGAACTTACAAAAGGATATTATCTACCCTGTGACCAGCATTCCTCCTTCCAGGGTTGCAAGTGACAGGGGGCAGTTAAAAGGAAGAGTATGTATTTTGCATTTAATCATTTGTAAGGCAGTCCCCAAGCCCTATGCCCGGGCCTTTATAATCTAGAACTTAAGTCTCTAGAAGAGACATAAATAGTTGGGATTAATTGTCTGAATGGTAGGGCCTAGGCCAGGGGCCTCTGGGTGAGGCAGTTCCCTAGAGTCATGTTCACTCTAAGTACTTGGTGGGTGGGGTGGGGAGGGGGCCTAGATTTGGCCCTGGTGGTAGGCAGAGGAAGAATCTTAACTTCTAGTCTGGTTCCTATGCCTAGATTGAGCAGCATCATTCTTGGAGTGACGTATTTTGGTGGAGAGGTCATCCTTCTGGGGGTGGGAGACAGTGAGTTCCAGGCAGTGGTTGGTGGGAGAAGAGCCTTCGTTATGTCATGACTTAAAAATACCAGGCTTGGGAGTTTGGATATGACTTGCAATCCTCATCGGAGGGTTTGGAGCAGGCTGGGACACGATCGAGAGAGGAGGAACTGGCATTGGGAGGCCTCTTGCCACCCTGGTATAGTGCAAGATGCAGTAATTTGGCCTAGGAATATTATCAGTGGGTGTTCATTCATTTCCTCAGTGTATTGTTGAGTACCTATTATGCATTATTGGCAAATAGGAAAATTTTATAACAGGATCCTGTATTTTATTGAGACAAATAAGTTGGGTTTTGTCAATTCTAAAATGCCTCTTTTCATTTAAATATGAATGAAATCGGGTTGTCTTATAATCACAGATGTGTCATAGATGAGTAGTTTTTCGTTCTCAGTCGATTATGGTACATCTTACAGTCAGTGGTTTAGATTTAATGAAATTTGTTAATCATATCTTTTATGAATGTACAGTGCTTTTTACTTTATACATTTCCCCATCAGATAGTCCATTTGAATCTCAAAATTCCCCTAAGAATTAGGCCTGCTGACACTGTCATCTCCATTTTAACCCTTGCCCAAGGTCACACGGCTAATTAGAGATGTGCTCAAAATTATAACCCACAGAGAACTTTGACTCTTGGTGTTAATGTGTGACATTACCCTGCTGTGTGGAACTTGCCTTGGTTAATTGGGAATGGGGAAGAGTCAGTTTGGATTTGATTTTCAGATGGCTTAAGATGCTGGCATGGTGGTGGTTTTCTGACCAAGGGCACAATGTAACTTGTGAGGGTTGAGAAGTCCCCTTATCCCATAGATTTGCTGCATTAAAGAGAGAATGGGCAGAGAGATAGAGGATGCCAGGTAACGTAATACAATCAGAGGTTTGAGAACATAGCTATTTTTATACAGGAAGAAAAGGAGCAGTGCATGAGGCACACAGGTTCAGGAGTCTACCTCTGTGAACCAGGAACTGACCAACCTTGGGGGTCAAACATGAGGAGGACATGGTCGTGCCTGAAGTTGAGGAACAGTGGTGTGTGTGTGTGTGTGTGTTATAGGGGTATATTTTGGCTGTTGAAGAGTCAGCTTCAGGGAAGCTACCACAGGAGCGGTGTCTGAGGAGAATCTCAAGGTCGAGTAGGAGTTGTCCAAATGAAAGGACAGAGAGGTGAGTCTGTTAGGGGGACACAGATGTAGGGAAGAAGGCTTATGGCTGAGGAGGCTTTGTGGACATAGAGGAAGGGGAAGGATGTTATGTTTTGCTAAGTAGATTTAAATATATCTTGTAGGCTATGGAGACCATTAGATGGTTTTCTAGAGATAGACTCGAGAACGAGCCTGAGCGGGGGATCTGGAACCATCCCCAGATGGTTGGGTGTTTGAATGGGAAAGCAGGAAGCATAGCAACATGTTTAGTAACTTATTGAGTGAATCTGAGACTTTGACCTTGGGCAGTAATTAGGAACTCCTAGTGTGGTGTATGCATTGGTGGGTGGGGATTTTCCCTGGAATGTGGCATTGGAAGGCTATGACCAAGGGGAGGAAGGCAGGGCTAAAGCCGGGCTGACATTGCAAGCAGGAAACTATAATCTGGGTCGAAATCTGTGGTCTTGAAGGTGTGTGTGAAGCAAAGGTGAGGGCAAGGGAGGAAGGAATGGAAGTGTGTTGAGGGAGTCTGTTGTCTGTCATCTAAAGGTTTGGAGAAATTGATCACACAGATCATCATGGACAGCAATGTATTGATGATGAGTTCACCTCTTTTGACTTTCTAAATAGGGTAGGTGTGTGGGTGGGATCCATTCTTGGAAGTAGATAAACCACAGAATTGAGGGTAGAAAATGTGTATCTTCCTGTATTTCTTAATCATAGCAATCAGAGTAATTTATAATAATAATATAAAGTTGAGCATTTTTTCAATGCTCACCATGTGCTAATATAATTCTCATACTGATTCATTATAGTATCTTTTATGATCATCAGTCTCATTTTGCAGATGAGAAATGAACGCGGTAGTCCTGTAATAAGATAACATGACTGCTAAGTGACGTGGCTGAGATTTAAGCCTTTGCTGGCTCTACAGCCTCACCACCACTCTTTTCTTTGCCTAGAGAACAAGAAGTTCAAATCAACATTGTTTTTCACTATTATTCCTTGGAATTTAATTAGTACATGTTCTTTGGGTCTTGGGGGGGATCACTATTGAGAGGAAGCGGATTTCTCAGTTCTGTACTTGGTGCTTCTCTGGCCCACTCTCTCCTAAGATGCCACCATTTGCTCCATTCTTTGAGTAGAGTCTTCTCTCCCCAGCCTAACTTGAGAATACTGAGCCTCTGTAGCAAACCATCTGTCTCCCACCGCAGTCCTCTGTTGTGATAGTCATTGATACAGCCCTATAGAGAGGCAGTTGGGGCAATAAAATAACAAAGTAGGGAAGTGATGGAGGGTTTCCTGTGGCCTTCCAGTCTCAGGAATGCATTTGCATTTCAGTGATTCACAGATAATGGCATTTTCTGGTGCCAGAAGTCTGACCCTAGGGCAGGCACCCAGGATTTAAATAAGACCTTGACTTTCTCAGCTTTCTCAATCCATCTCTTCTCTGATGTTCTCAAGATGTCCAGTAACTGTTAGCTAAATGAATGAACAGTGTT